CCAGGTAAAGATAAAACTTCACACTAAAGGTGAACTTACTTCAGTACTTTTCATATTCATTCAGTACATGTCTAGCTTTCAAAAAATTACAAGACATACTAAAAGACAAAAACAAACAAAACAGTTTAGAGAGACAGACTCAAATATGATAGATGTTTGAGTTTCAGTTTGGAAATACGAAAACATTCTAAAGATGAACTGTAGTAACAGTTACAGAACAATGTGAACGTACTTAATGCCACTTAAAAATGGTTAAAATAGTCAATTTTATATTATGCATATTTCACCACAGTTCAAAAAAATCAAGAGGGGAAAAAAAGAAAGATGCCAGACCATAAAAAGACATGGAGAAAACTTAAATGCATATTGTTAAGTGAAAGAAGCCATTCTGGAATGGCTACATATGATATGATTCTAACTATATGACATTCTAGAAAAGGCAAAACTATAGAGACAGTAAAAATATCAGTGGTTTCCAGGTTTTCAGAGGAAGGGAGGGAGAGATAATAGGCAGAGCAAAGGGAATTTTTAGGATAGTGAAACTATTCTGTATGATACTGTCAGATATATGTTATTATACATTTGTTAAAACCCATGGAATGTACAGAGTGAACCCAAATATAAGCTATGAACTTTAATAAAAATGTGTCAATATTAGCTTACAAATTATAATAAATGTACCACACAAACAAGGAAAATAGGGGAGGGAGAGAGGTTATATGGGAATTCTGTACTTTCTGCTCCATATTTCTGTAAACATAAATTGTTCCAAAGTCCTGACCTTTTTCTGTGGCTCAGTGAGTTGAGCATTATCCCACAAAGTAAAAGGTTGCTGGTTCAATTCCTGGTCAGGGCACAAGACTGAGTTGCAGGCGTGAACAGGACTAGGGCGCGTGCAAGAGGGAATCTATTGATGTCTCCCTCACACATCAATGTTTCTCTCCTCTTATTCCCTCCCTTCCCTCTCACTAAAAATAAATAAAATCTTTTTAAAAATTTGCTTCAAAAAGAGTTGATTAAATAAACAATAGGAGGCCAACAAAGAAATATAAAGAAAGATTCATATATTACTTAAACTACTCCAGTGCATAAATAAAAATGTTCCCAATATCTTGTATGGAGGCAGCATAATATTGATGCCAAATTTAACAAAGATAGGTCAAGAAAACAATTTTTAAAAATTATCATTTCTAAAGCATCTCCAAATAAAATATAGCAGTTCCTTAAGAGAAGAATATATTATGATTAATAGTTTTTAGCCTAGGAGCACAGGAAAAGATTAAGAATAAAGTATGTGTTAATGGGTCAAAAAAGATTAGAACTGTGCAGTGCTGATAACTTTGGGGATGGGGGTCAGAAAGGTTAAGGCGCTCAGGCCTTTTTCCTCGCCTTCTATGCAATGATAACCTGCTAATGGGAGGAGGATCTGAACACTGGGTGAGGGCTACAGAACAACAGTGAAGATGGGAAAGCTAAGGGGGAGACATAAAAAGATTTCTCAGCACTGTTGATGACCGTCCCCACCGCCCTGACCCATTTGGTTCAGTTGGTTGGGCATCACCCTGCAAAGCGAAGGGTCATTGGTTTCACTGCAGCCCAGGCACATGCCTGGTTTGCCAGTTGGGTCCTGGTTGGAGCATGAGCAAGAGACAATGGGATCGATGTTTCTCTCCCTCCCTTCCCCTCTCTCTAAAAATTAATAAATAAAACCAACAACGACAACAAAAAAGATTGGAGACCAAGAATTTCTAATGATACCACTCCACGCAACTGAATTATTTTCCCTAACATAGTTCAGAAATTTAGGTTTGAAATGATTCACGTTGCATGGTCTGCAGGACCAGTATATAATACCAAAGGCTCTGAATTTTCACTTCCCTGAACTCCTAAAAAGATGCGGTTGTAAGTCTGGTCACATTTCACTTTGAATTTAAACCGTTCCCTGCCTTCGCTCAATTTCACTACCAGAACTACAAAAGCAATCACTACCGTATACATCATTACTACAACACCCTTGTCATGTAGTGAAAGAGACATCAGAGAGTGAATCAGATACAATTTTGTCATTTAACTTGAACTGAACTGAAAGAAATTACTAATGTTTCCTATTATTTGGTCTCACCCTTTGAATACAGTGCATTAAGTACTACACAACAAACTCATCTTCAAAAATTTTACAGTTCAGAAATTTCTAGGAAGAAACATTAAAGTTTCTCCCTTATACTTTTGCAACTTATTCCAGTAAGTTTTAATGTATCAGTGAACTAAACAAAAAAATCGTAATACTCTTCATATTATTTTAAAACTACCTTTAATACAGTACACCATCTACACCCTCATATTCTGAGGTAAATAAAAGAATATTGGATTTTGCTTTTAAAAAAGAAACCCCCTGAAGTAAAAACACTCTGGGCTCAAAGAAGCAAAAATAATTTTTTATTACACTTAGATAAGTCCCTGATAAACAGGATAATTTTTCCACATCTCATGTAAAAGTGTTCAAAGGGATTTAACTAAAACATTCCCCTTTAGGCTTGAAGATGTAAATTAAATTTAATTAAGTTAAGTCTTAAACAAAAAGACTTAAGAACTTTTGTTCAAAGTTGGAAGAACTTCTTTTGTCCACAAGTGTATGGAGACAACTCGCAACCTCAAATGCCCAGCTCAGACCCCTCCTCTGCTCTCCAAACCCAAACTGACCACCTTAACACCCATCCCAACTCATCCCATCACCAACCCCCATGGCCACCACCCACACTGGATACCTGGCCATATCTCAATATGCAGCACAACCGCTAACACCTGGACACCTTCTTGCCCTTATGTTCCACATCTAGTCCATTATTAGTGTAATAGTAATGCAAAATTACTGTTTTAAGTGTGGTGATTTTTACTTCTTAAATGTCTCTTGAATCAGTCTATTTTCCATAACCACCAACAATTCCCTATTCCAAAATAGCATCATCTTTTTTCCTGGCAATACTATAACCTCTCCTAATTAGCATCCCAAATCTATTACTACTACCCTCCACCCCACCCTGCTGTTAAAGCTGTTTTCCATTCTGCTACAAAATGATCTATGTAAAACACAAACATTATCATATACAGCCCCCTTGTTTAAAACATTTTCATTGACTTCCCAAACCTCTAGGGATAAAACCCCCAAATCCTGCACATAACACACAAGCTGCAGTTGAAGTCTGTGCTCAACCCACATTGGCCTTTGGTTCCCTGAAAAATACTATGCTTTCTCTAACCAACGGTATCTTTACATGTGCTTTTCCCTCAACTATAAGGCTCTTTCCCTTACCGTTCCTAGCTAACCTTAATCTGACTTCAGATCTCAAGCTCTATCACATAACTTCCTAAGGGAAGCTTTCTCCTGCTTCACTGACAAAATACGATTCCCTTACAGTATGATTTTGAAACATGTTAACACATATAAGTTTTACTTTTATTTATGGCACCACCTACATTTTGTCTGCCTTTCTCTCTAAACACTCAGAAGTCAGACATAAGAAATGTTTGGGTTGGTGCTCTCTCTCCCGAGAGCACGCCCACGCCTTTCTCCCCCCTCACTCCTGCATCTCCTAAACTCTAAGATCCTCACAATTCTTTCAACTAAGGGAGCAATAGGCGGCAGCAGCTGCGGACCTGGCTAACCCCCTAAACCTGCCTCCAAGCGCCCCTTTCCAGGGACCCAAAGGAGCCCCACTTAGGCTCTCTTCTGTTGCCTTTATCCTAAGCCCTTTCTGTTTCACCATACCCAGCTTTAATAAACATACTATAAAAAAAAAAAAAAGGTTGGGTTCACCAAGGTTCAGCTGCATCAGTACAAATGCACAGCCGGGGGTGAATGCTCAACAATATATGCTCAATGAATTAGAGTTCCACTGGAATATATACCAGGCAAAACAACTATTAATATTCTTTAATGATCAATAGTTCACAGCATCACTGATGCTGAAAACAGAATTTTCTGTAATGACGGAAGATTCTGTATCTGCATTGTCCAGTACAATAGCCACTAGTCAAGTGTGGCTACTGAGCAACTGGAAAGTGATTGGTGCAACAGTGGCACGAATTTTGAAATTTATTTACTTTTAATGCTACTGACTACTGGATTGAACAGCACAGGTCTATAGAGCTTTTTCTGCCGTTTCCGTTGCACTTTTGTTGTTTCACTCTTCAGTTTACATGTTGCCTGCAGGCAGCTCTAGACAATAAACCCTAGGCTTCTTTTTTGTCCCCACAATATACACTGTACAAAACAGAAACTTTATAAATGATAACTTGCTATCTGAATCGCTTTTTCTCGCTGAAAAGTAATTAATTAAATGCAATTATTTTCAAAATGATCTTCAGAAGCCAACCAATAAATACAGCTCTTTCTCCATTGTGGCGCTTTATAGTTTTCCAGACTGGACCTGTGGTTAAAAACCTCCTGCACTTATAAGCTCCTCCTACCGGCTGGGAGCCCCTTTACTGCTACAAACAGGGTCCAGATAAACAGGGTCCAGATAAACACGATCCGCGAGGAGCCTCTAGAGACTAATCCACACTACTCCCGCAGGGCAATCCCGCACTCTGGCGAACTAATCTCCTAATTGTCTTCCCAACATGATAGTCCCTAGGCAACCATCCTCACCACTCCGACACCGCCCTTTCCACCTCCTACCAAAAGCGTTTCTTAACTATACAAGCTGGTAGGTAATACTGGCTCCTCTGAACACCTGGTGTTATTCAAAATGCCCGGGACCCACCGAGGGGAAGAAACGTTTGATCTCTGCCAGAAAGAACAAGAGACCACTCATTCAGAACCTAAATAAGAGTCGAGAGAGCCCTTACAAGCCTTTTAAAAGTGCGCTTATTCTATATTAGAAACAATGACAGGCAGAGAGCAGGAGGGAGAGAGCTGGCTCCCTAGCCAGCGGTGCGCTTGGGGTCGACCCGTCACCACGCCCCGCGGGCGGCCCACACCTCCTCCCGGCCTGGCTCACCTTCTCCGGGGTGGTCGGCTCACTCTCGGAGTAGCGGTGCTTGGGCAGAGACGACGGAGGCAAGGTCCCGCCGGGGTGCGCCTGCAGCCAGGCTTTGGCCTCCTCGTCCTCCTCTTCATCGGTACTTTCCCGAGGCTGGCTCTCGTAGTTAAAGTCCGCGTCCAGTTCCCGCCTTTCCTCTACCTCCTCGTCCTCCACAGTTACCACCTCATCCTCATCCAAGTTCTCCGGCTTCTCCACTTCTTCCTTCTCCTCCTGTACCTCCTCCTCCTCCTCCTCTCCCGCCTCCTCTTCCTCCTCCTCCTCCTCCTCCTCGAGCTCGCCCGGCCAAGGCAAGTCCTCAGGCTCCATGATGGTGTCACGCTCTCTGAGGTTAGGGAGGAGGAGCGGGAAGGGAGGAGGGAGGGGAGGGGAAGAGAACTGACTGGCGGTTGCGGCCTCACGCAGGCGCAAAGACCGCCGCCTCGCTGAGCCCCGCGCCGCGCTGCGCGGACGGGGCGGGGCCGGGAGAGGGCGCGCGTTGCTAAGGACGCCCCGCAGGGGTGGGCGGGAAGGCCCTAGAAGGGGGCGGGGGACCGGTGACGCCACCGCCTCATCCTCGTCACCCGCTGGTTGCTTGCTCACAGAGGTGTAAGCTCACAATAAACCCAGATGGGGCCCCTCTCACGGGAGGGGAGACTTAGTTAGTACTCGGCTGGGCTGGGCCAAGACTGTCTCTGCGTGGAGGGGAGAGCACACCCTAGGACAAAAGTATGACAAACTTGCAAATGATAAATTTTTAAAGGTTGAGTGCCCAAGGCGTGACAGGCTGTATGATGGGCACCTGAACCTTAAGGTTAGTATAGGGGTTAAGAAAGGAATGGGCGCCGGTATCAGAGAAATGGGGAGTTTGAATCCTGACGTCGCCCCTTGCAAGTGGTGTGACTCGGCCTGTATCAAATGAGGATGGTGGCCCGTTGACTAGGATAGTTAAGATAATCAAAGGAATTACCCAATTTGAAGGACTTGGTGCTGGGTATTATTCGTTGACTATTAGGCAGTACCTTATTAAGTACTTGTCGTTCTGTGAGTCATATTATCATTTTTATATTTGAAAAATCTAGGGGTTAGAAAATGACTTGCCCAAATCTTACCTAGGAGGTGGCTGGTTGAGTCAGTGCCATCCCAGGGCTCCTGTGAGTCCAGTAATCGCCCTGGCCCAGACCCGACCGCTAGTGAAGGAGAAAAGAGCAAATATTTATTCAGATAGTACTTAAGTTTGGGGGTTAGTCAATGGCTTTGAAATGCTTTAGAAATAAAGATTTCCTGATCACAACAGGAACCCCTATAAAATGAATGGCAAGTTAAAGAATCTTTAGATGCTTTGCTATAACTAAGAATATGGCCATAACTAACGTGGAATCAGCAAATATTCTTCGTGGTATTACCCACAATAGCAGAGATAAATTGGCAATGATACTGAACCAACATTGACAGGTAATTCTAGAGGTATCATTTCCAAAAATGTATGTCCTATCCACCAAAGACTCAATCCTGGCAGAACTGTAAAAGTAGAATGTGGACTGGAGCCCAAGGCCTCGGGGCCCCTTTGCACACCTCTCAGTGGACAACGAGTACCCCTGACCCTGGAACAACGTGGGTTTGAACTATGCAGGTCCTCTTACGTGCTGATTTTTTTTCAACAAATTCTGTAAATGTATTTTCCTTGTAATTTTCTTAACCATTTCTTTTCTATAGCTTACTTTAGTATAAGTATATGGCATATAATACAAATAACATACAAAATATGTGTTAATTCTGTTTATATTATTGGTAAGGCTTCTGGTCAACAGTCGGTTATTAGTAAAGTTTTGCGGAAGTCAAAAGTTATACACAGATTTTCAATCATGCAGAGTGGGAGGTGGGGGCTTCTGCTCTTTGCCTAATGGTTAAACTTCAAAACCTAATTAGTTTTGCCTAGTGTGGCTCAGTGGATTGAATGCTGGCCTGGCAACCAAAGGGTCACCAGTTTGATTCCCAGGTAGGGCACATGCCTGGGTTGTCTGTCAGTCAGATCCCCAGCTGGGGGTGCATGAGAGGCAACCACACATTAATGTTTCTTTCCATCTTTGTCTCCCTCCTTTCCCCTCTCTCTAGAAATAAATAAGTAAAATTTAAAAAAATAATTAAGATTTCCTTATTCTATAAGAGATAGCTTTTTGCTCTCCTCACTGCATGTCTAATGTGCCGTACACCTGAAAGGCTACTCAGTCTGGACCTGCCCACTCATGGGGCAAAGAAAATTGACCCAAGGGAAGGAAAGACATTTAATCTATAAAAGAAAACCAAAGGAGAATTGACAAAAATCAGAGAGGATGATGGTGATTCAGGTGAAGGGATCACCTCGATCAGGCAGGATAAGTGTGGGGATTTCTCATATAGCAGAGGAAAAACAGGTCCCCCAAAAGATCCTTTACTCGGGTAAGTGGGTTAACAAGTTGATTGAATTCATTTCCTGTTTTTTATTCATGTTAATCGAAGTGTGGTCCACAAACCACCTTCATCATAATTACCTGGGTATGTGTTTTATGAAGAATCCCAGCTCTCCTTACCTAGAGAACAAGATTTAGGAAGTCTGGGTTGGCTCTGAGGATCTGGTCTTCAATGCCATACCACCCCCAAGTAATGCAGACACACAGTAATGGTTGAGAACACTGCTTTCTTTTCTCTGCCAGACATCAAGGACAATACATTTCTTCCTCACCTACTGCAGAAAGTCATCCCTCTCCCTGCCACCCAGCAGTCAGAGCATGGACATGTGATCTAGACTCACACATCGTATGCTGCCATCTGTGACTTTGACTCTTAAAGGAGAAGCAGGAAAAGTTCAGAATTTTGTTACTCAGATCATATTCTAGGTACCAGCAGCATCACCCCAGAGCTTGTTAGAAATGCAGAAGAATCTTAGGCCCCACTCGGACCTACTTAATGTACATTTTAACAAGATCCCCAGGTGACCCATAGGCACACTGAAGTTTGAAAAGTACTGGCTTAGAACCCATTCTTAGTGATGGAATTGAGAGTTCAGCAGTAGCAACAGCCAAAGGAACAAGCAGAAATATCCTCACCAACTGGTTCTTACCGCATGACCTTTGTCATGGGTCCTGCTCCCTAGCTTTCCTTGGTGCTTGCCTTTCTTGGTCAGCTGTTCACAAGTAGTGCATTGTAATAAGCAATCACAAAATCTCAGTGACCTATTTTTAAACAGGTACTGTTTCTTGCTTTTTCACCAGCTGGTTGCCTGAGGATATCTGTTTCAGGTACAGTGTACCAGGTGGCTGGGGAGACTTGACTCCACCCTGGCTTTCATTACTCTGGGACCAGCAGGTGACCCAAAGAATGCTCCAACCATGACAGAGGAAGCTCCAGAGGAAGTAGAAACACGAATGCACTTCCTCCTACAATTCATTAGCTAAAGCAAATCACATGGGCCACTCAGCCATAAAAAAAGAATAAAATTATACCATCTGTAACATCATAGATTTCTAGAGGGTATATGCTAAGTGAAATAAGTCAGTCAGAGAAAGACATCCATATGATTTCACTTATATGTGGAAACTCAAGAACAAAATAAATGAACAAACAACATTGAAATGGATTCATAGAAAGTATGGGATAGTTGCCAGAGGGGAGGAGGTTTGAGGGACTGGGTGAAAAAGGTGAAGGGATTAAGAAGTACAGAATGGTAGTTACAAATTAGTAACAGGGATATAAAGTACAACATAGGGAATATCGTCAATAATATTATAATAACTGTGGTGCTAGATGAGTAGTGGAAATATCAGGGTGAAGACTTCATAAAGTATATGACTGTCTAACCATAGACTGATGGTATGATTGAAACTACCATAATACAAAATAATATTGAATGTAAACTATAATAGAAAAAAAGAGACAAAAAATAAGACATGAAAGAAGACATGATTTAATCCTTTTCTGATTGAGAAGTTAAAAAGAAATTTACATGAGCCAATCCAACATCGTATTTCTTGCATGGCAATTAATTGAGGAGAGGGAATAAATGTATTGAATGATAAGACTAACATAATATACCACCCCTTTCCAAGCCCAGTTTCCAGCTTTCCTGCTGGTTCTAGGAGCCCTACAACATCCGTCTGGTACAATATTGATGAAGCTAGCCAGTGTCAGCTTTTGTTGACTGAGACCCCAAACACTCACTGATCCACAGGAGGAGGTCCAAGCCAGAGGGAAGAAAGGTGTAGCCCTGGGATGCAGCTGTCGGACTTGGAGAAGAAGCACTCAGAGACTAAGGGCATAAAACGGTTCGATGGCACAGGTGGGTGAATGGGGAAACAGGAGGTTTTTGATTATAGACTGAAATATTGAAGTTTAAAAGGCCCCAGGTGTGTCTGCAAGAGTGAGTTTCTGAAACAGGCTTCCCCATGTGGTTATTAAAAACTCCTAGGATGGTGGGAGCACTTGAGATCATGCTTCCCTGTATATGTTATTAGTTTGGCTCAAATAATCTCAAAAATTGGTGGTCGGGAGTGGACCTTGGATGGAGACAGGTGCTGAATTAGAGAGAAGGTGAGTCAGATGCCACTTTCTCCCTGCACAGTATCCAGGTGAGTAACAAGGAGTGCCACGTGGTCATAAAAGGGACAGGAGGGAAGGAAAGACTAAGGTTTTTTTTAGTGCCAGGCACCATGAGGGGTATTTTACAATAATTGTCGCCTCTAATCCTCACAACAATTTGGCAAATGATTTTAAAGATGAAGAAACCAATGCTCAGAGAAGTTAATTTGTCCAATATAACCCAGGCAACAAGAGGGGGTGCACCATGGCTTCAAACCCTGTGCCACTTCCCATCAAACCACACGGTGGAGAAGCTTCCAGTGGGGCAGTGGGAGCAGACACAGCCCAAGTCCTAGCCCCGCTGTAAGCAGAACATGAAAAAATGTCAACCTCCATGCTACAAGGACAGCTGTGTCCTCAGGGGCAAACTGGGTTCAGTTCAGGGAAGGACGAGGTAGGAGGCTATGAGGGCAGCGAAGGTGGTCTACAACTGTGGATGGGTTTGGAGGAAGGAGGTCAGTGGTGAAGGACAAGCCAAAGAACACCTGCAAAAATATGTGAACAAAAGCCCTGCAGTGAGAGGAAATGGGGAGAACTTGCAGTTTTTAGATATGGCTGAAAATGAAACTCAGAGGTATGGAACTAATTTCCATCATAGACCATTCTCTATAGTGGAACAAGAATGCCAGTTAAATCATTAATCTGAGCATATTGTATCTCTATTCAAAACCCCACAAGGGCTTTCAGCCTCACTCAGAATGAAATCCAAAGTCTTAACCCAGGTCTGTAAGAGCCTACATGTCACCTGACTCCTACCCTCTAAACTTCTGCCCATCCATCACGCAAGCCGCCCAGGCCTCCTTACGGTTCCACAAGACACAAAGCCTCTCCCACTGTAGGGCCCTTGCACCTGCTGTTCCCACTGCCTGGAGCAGCACTTCCACAGTCTCTGCTCGCGTTATCCGGGAGGCCTTCTCTGATAACCTGATACACCCACACCCTGACCCATGCTTTATTTTTCTTCTTTCTACTTATTACTACCCCACATTTATTTGTTTGCTTATTGTCTGTCTCCCCCACTAAGAGGCAAGCTCCGTGAGAGAAGGGATTTTGTCTTTCTGCATGCCACTGCTGCTGGGCATATAGGGAGGTGCTTGGTAAACATGGTGGAGTGAAGTTGGCTGGGCAAAAGATTCTGAATAGAGCTTCAGAATAAGTTTGTTTTCACTGAGGCTGATAAAGATGTCTGTCTACTGGGGAACCTTTCATTTCCTCTCCCAGCTGGCAGCCGGGAGCATTTGTTGGACTGAAAGTGAAGTGGAATCCAGGTGCTTGAATATGATCCTGCAATTGAATCCTGGTGGCAAACTTTCCCTTAGGACGAGTCATTTCTACTGATCGCTAAGTTAATAGTTTCATTTTTTATAATGCTTATATAATCAGGAAAAGCAATGATAAAAGTTAATATGTAGCATATGTAGAGAAAAATTTTGTTTTATATATGTATATGTGTCTGTATATAAATATATATGTATATATAAAATAAATTTAGTATATGATAAGCCAGTGAGGACACCATGAAATATGCAATAAGTTTCTATTCCTGTGAGTACAAAATTACTG